GCTGGCACATGTCGGCACGATGTGGGCTCCTCCCCCTTTCCTTCGCCGACGCGCGGCGTCATAGAGCTGCTGGTATCTACCTCACCGTGCCTTGTCACACACTCAAACTGCTCCTTTGGTGGCGGCGACAACGTCGCAGGCTCTTCTTCCACACCCATGGCGTGACGCATAACTCCCATGATCAGGAACTGCTGCAGCTGCAGAAGTAGTGATATGAAGGCATGTTCCTCGCAGCGCAAAAGCTCTTGCCGTCCCAACGCCCATTGCTGCATAATATTGCGTTGGGCGAGACAGGCGTTCACGATACTGGCCACATCAGAGAGAGGCACAACAAGAGTAGCCCCACCAGTACTAGTAGCGGCGGTACGGCTTGTTAAGCAAGGCGAGTCTTGGCGCTCCTCCTCCTCAGGTTTCACTTTTTCCTCCCCCCTAACCACCACCACCGCCTCATCCTCATCCTCTGAACGCTGAGAGGCGACACCCGCACGGAGTTGCCGCACAAGGTGGAGGAGCGCAGCGTCTTCGTCGTCCACCCACTTCTGTTCGATCTCCTCCTTCTCATCCGCCCTTTGGGTCTGCTGCTGCTGATGGTGATGATGATAACCCCACCCCTGACACGTGACGGCGGTGGCTGATGGGAGCGAGGGGGTGCTTTTTGTCACGCCATCTAGGCGACTAAACGTGCAGTTGCCGCAAACGTGACCGACAACAGGCGACGACTTCGTTGGCGTTGCTACCACTGTGCGCGCATCTTCTGCAGGTACGCGTGCGCGGCCGATCGGCGACACAGTCCAAGAGCTAACAGTACCCGAAACTGAGGCGGCGCTGGTGTCACCATTATTTCTTGCACAGTCGTTTCGCTGTTGCTGTTGGTGCTCTTGTTGTTGTCGTTGTCTCCGTTGCGGCAGCGCAAACGGGCATGAGGCGCAGGAGGAACGTGATGAGGCGCACGACGGCACCGGACACCGCGCAAACGGGGCGGGAAAGTAATAGCCAGACGTTCCACCCTCTTTCTCGGCGTTGCCGCATTCGTCATCGCAGCCACCACACAGATCCGGCAGCGCATACGGCTGGGAGCGCCATGTCGTAGGCTCTCCCGCCACGCACTGCTGCTGCTGCTGCTGGTGATTGTGCTCCTGTTGTTCCCGCGCGGCCTCCTGCGAATAACAGCGGAGAGCACCGCCTTCGTTGGCGATGCCGTCGATGCCTCCTCCATTCGTTTCCGACTGACTGCTAGGGCCCAGTGATGCCGTCGTCGTGCTCTGCTGGGGCTGCGAAAAAGATGGACGCACGACTTGCATCAGCTGCAGCTGCAGCGCCTCCGCCACGAAGGCAGTAGAGTATCGTTGCGCACCGAGCCCGCTCACGCCCATCACGAAGAGCAGCGTCTGCTTCGCCACAAAAACAAAGTGTGCGCGTGAGATGCAACCACCATCGTACGCCGGCTGCAAGAGAGTCTTTATGCACTTCAGCACCTCGTCGCGCGTGTGCAGGAAGGTGGCGGGCTGCTCCGCCGCCGCCGCTGCTATCAACCACATCGCCGAGGAGGATGGAGACGATGTGGGCAATGATGTTGACTCTGCTGGTGCTAGATAGCCAGCGGACATCGTGGCGCCCTGAACCCCAGGAATGCCCCGAGATCTCGACCACGCCCTCCGTTCCTTCGCGAGGGCCACACTGGTGGTGTGTCGATGTTCTCCGCAGCCACAAGGCTAGCAAGAGCAGTACACCTCAGTCTCGGAAGCCGAGCCCCGCGCAAACAAAGGAAAAATGGCGCGCGCCTCTGTGAGAGTAATATATATATGTCTCTTCAATATAAGTGTGTCTTGCAGCTGTGTTCCTCGCCTCCTTCGCCCTCATGCAAACGCCGGATGCAGGAACAACACGGAGACGCCGTCTCCTGCACTCTACATGTATGTACAAATATTTTATTCAACATATGTTGGAGAAGCGAAAGGAAATACATAAGCACTTAAACCGAACACCAATACAAACAAAACAAAAGCACAGACACAAACCAACGCCGCATCTCGCGCAGGCGCGGGCGAGAATAAAGAGACAACGGTGATCGTGGCGGTGGTGCACGAACACCAGCCAACAGACACGCACACTGAGAGACCAAGACCGTTTGCCCCAGCGCTTCTACTCATACATGGTTTGTTTGCGCTTGTGTACATATATGCGTGGGCATATGTGTCTGTGTGTGCATGTGCGTGGGTGTGCTGTTGACCGCGATGCAAGAGAGACAGCACAAATGAGAGCATGCGCCTATAGGAGGGTGGGGGGAGAAAGAAGTGTGTGTGTCTTGATGGTGTGGTTGGCAATGGGAATGGCTCCGGCGGCACACACACACACACACACA